GAGAGGGGGGGGAGGGATGGAGGAGGTGGAGAAAGGAGAGGTGTGGAGGAAGAAAAAAATTCAGACTGGGAGCATCAGACACACGAGTGAATGTTATCGATTAGTTTCCCTGTTTGTTGAAAGGCCCCAAAATGAACACAGGTATGGATTAAATCCTTTCATGATCAGGGGGGGCTGTGGCTAATTGTTGCAACCATCCATCCGATTAACAATGCAGCAAAGAACATCAGCATTTATTTTTGCATTAGATGTAGAAGTGTTCCCTGCAAACACCATCACTTCACATGCCTTGTGTATACGAGATAATGAGGCAGGAGTTGAGAGGGTGAGAGGGTTGCGGGGGGGGGGGGTTAGAAGTACAGTCGAACCTGCTTTAACGGTCACCTGTATAAGACCATCGTGTGTAAAGAACGTTTCATCCCCGCCCATCACTGCCGCCCTTTTTGCGTTAAAAAAAACCACTTTACAATCCACTGTGTAAGACAATCATTTTTTTCCTCGACAATGGGAGGCCGTCTCAGAAAATTTCAACTTTCAACTAGATCTATATTTGGTCGCTTTTAAAGACAAGCCCATTTACAATTCTAAAGTGCATAAGAACATATTAATGTCCCCCCTTTGGGAATGGCCTAAAGTACGCTTTGTGCATTAGATGAGAGCTATAACCGTCGCTGTGCTGTCGGGAGCGCCCTGGAGAAGCTATCTGGACGATGCCTTGCCTACAACGAGGATCCAGCAACCAAGAAACTTTAGTTGTCTAAGTATCAGCATCTTCTACTTGGAAAACCCTGGCTTGTACAGTAGGGTTCTGATAGACCCAGATAGTACAGTTTATGATAGAGTGTTAAGGTTAGGGTTTGGGATAGTTTTAGGGTGGGGTTTAAGTTTATGGTCAGAGTTAGGCTTAGGTTTCAGTGTTTCCAATTCTGGATTTTTTAAAATATTATTATCATTGGTTCCCCAGACTTAGACTGACAAAATTTAGAACCAACATCGTTAATAGGCCTAAAGTATGATAACAAGCGTCGATTTTTGCCTTGTCTATTTTTGTTGATGGTCGAAGATCAAAGAACTAAGATCGAAGCAATATATAGCTCCCTGGCAATCGCGACGCTCTGTTTGGGTCCCGAGATTGTCAAAACAGAAACAGCTGACGTCATCCGAAACCCTTCACATCGCCGTCGACTGAATGAGTTTTTAAGGAAGGAGACAACAATTCTAGGCCATCGATCTGTACTCAGATACTCCAGCCTGTTTCGTTCTGTTAATAAAATAACATTCTTACTAGGGACGCCTTTGGAAATGCATTGTTTATTAACACCCTACAAGACACAAACCTTCTGGACTGGAAGGCTGTGTGTATTCAGAGTTTATGTCATGTCATCAAAATATTGGCCTTTTTGCACCGGGTCGGTGGCAGACAGATCGGCAAAGAGGACAACTGGACAAACAATTATGGTAAATATGGACAAAACATTATGCCACTAAGTGTTTACGTGGCATCAGGTTGCGCCCCTTATTTTCATGCACGCACGCACGCGCTCATGCATTCACACACACACACAAACACACTCACACACAAACACATACACACACACACTCACACACACGCACACACGCACACACGCACACACGCACACACACACACA